ATTCAAGAGAATTTGTTCAAGAAACCACTCCATTTGAGATGTTTTCAGCTGTTGTATTTAAAATCATTATTCAGTACTACTTGATCTTATTTCAGAGAATGAGGTTTATATTTTGGCTATTAAATGAGAGATATTCCTACGAGTCTCTGGATTTGCAGTGAAGTCTATATACCTTTTTGGAAGGAAAAAAAAAAAAAAAGCTGCTTCTCCAAATAGGTAGGAGTAGTGATTTCAGAATACTGCAAGACCCTGAAAGACAGAGAGGAACATACAAGAACTTTTCTATGGAGCTACTTTTAAATGTTGCTCAGCTGCTTTACCTTTTCTTCATACAAACTAAATTTCATACATGGATATTGATTTACTAGTTTTCATTGTGTTTTTTATTTACTGTTTAAAGAACCAAAAGTTAAATGGGTCATGAGTAGTATACAGAACTTCCCATATGTGAATAGTTTCAAAAAATTAAGTCTTAACAATCCAAAAATACCAGAACTATCTTGGTGATGTTCAGATCAGAAGCATACCTGTTATTATAAATGCTTGGGTTTACTTGGTTTTTTTTCTTTGTTTGTTTGGCGACTGATGGCAGAGGAGGTGGTAGCATCGAGGAACATTTCTATAATGTGCAGTTCACCACTGTGGATGTTGTGGAGAAGAGGCAGCAGTTGTTTACTGCAGTGTTAAGCTGACCGTTGGTGCTGCACCAGGCGGGTACAGCACCCAGACTGTGCTTTGACACACTGACAAAGCTGGGGAGCTGCAGGCTTTTGCTCCATCACATTGATTTTATAACTTTCTGGATAATGATTATACACCACTGTACCCTCAGTTAAATTATATATATTTTTAATTATGACATGTAGCTGATAAAACAATGAAAGCTGCGTGGAGCTATGTATAATAGTTGCCTGCTCCTGGCAGGTTTACTGGGCAGCTTTCAAGACAAAGCAGAAGCTAATTTATTGCAGTTCCTTACTCCTGTAAGCTCAACTTTTGAACTTCATGGAAAAATCGGGCCATTCTCATTTTGTTCTTTGTCTCCTTAGACATAGTGATAAATCAAACTCAGTGCTTGAATTTCAGTCTTAGATTGAGAGACAGAAACTTTCTCAGTATATGTCTACTTATGGGATGACACAAAGATGCCACTTGTTTTACCTTTTATGGACAAATTATTTCCTGACAGACTCTGTCATAATAACTTGAGCCCTTCTTCTGTAGGCATATGCTCGTTTGAACAGCTGGGTGAGTATTCTACGTATAGTCAATGAAACTTGCCAGCCGGTGCAGGGACTGAATCAGTGCACCTAAGTTAGACACAAAAAACAGATAAGGTGAACATATTCCTGGTGCTTTTGGTTTTTCACTGCCTTGTACAAAGTTTGGTGTTGTCTTGATCTTTTGACTTGGATTTGGGAGAGTTTACCACCTAGTTTTCATCAGTGGACATACTGCTGCAAGGCTTTGGTTGCAGGTTTCATTAAACTAATGCATCTTCACCCCTTAACATATAAGGATGTAATTCCACAGTTGGAGTGATTACTGTTTATTTCCAGGTAATATTCTGATAACTGGTTGACCAGAACCACTTAAGTGGTTCATCTGTTTGAAGTTCATCGGTACTTGTGGGGTGTATGAATGCCTTGTCCAATTAGAGCAGAAACTTCATGCAAAACACACCAGCTTAGCAAAAAGGCAACCGTAGCAGTAAGAGCTGGACAGTAACTTCATTTTTTACAATAGAATGAATGTATTGTCTGGCCATAAATGAATGTGTGATCTAACTGTCTTGACAGGGAGAGGGGAACTCTGGCCTATAACAAAAATTACTTCAGCGTTGTCATAAATTGATTGGAAATATTTTTTCCTCACATTACTCATGGGATGTCAACAAGTATGCAAATGTGAAAATTTAACATATGTTTCCTTGCTGCTTTTACACGGTTTCTCACACCAGTTTAATGAGTAAAAACTGTCATTTAAAATGCCACTTGAAACCGAAGTCCTTTAGTGTTGAAGATCATCTCGCTATTATTTTCTTTGTATTCTGTTGAGGTGTTAAATAGTTTATTCATTTGTTAATTTTACACTCTTGGACTAGAGCCTAATTTTTCTCTTATTCTGGTTTTATGAGAAGTTAAATTTCGTATATCTGGTAATCCTCCTTGTTACACAGTGTTTTATCTTTTTTGGGTTTCTTTGCTGTCTTTCCTCAGAGCATCTTTTTCCATTGATTCTTGTGCTGCAGCTAATGCAGTAAAACATTAGTATCTTTCTTTTGATCTCTGTGGTAAATGCATTTATTTCTGAATGAAGCTATAACATTGTTAACTTCTGTAAAGACTTCCTGACAGCATAATAACTAGGGATAGATCAGTGATCTAGATCTAATAAGACCCAATCAGGTTATTTTGTGTTGTGCCTTCTGTCTCACATCTGTTCATGGAAGGTGGTCCTGGCTTTCCTGCCACAGGAGCCAGGCTGTCCCCTTGCCAGCATGGTCCTGCTCTTGATTTACTGCAGGTGAATAAACTTGGAAGCCTAAAACCCAGAGTATTTATTCTTTTCCTGAAAACTGCTGTGATTACCCCCTGCACTTAATAGTTGCACCATTTAATTTCATTGCTGGTTTGTTTAGACCAAGATGTAATAATGCAAGTCAAAGAGTTGGAGATGTTGTTCTAGTTTTGATTATGCTTAATTAGCACATTCGGTGTTGTTCAGTCAAGGTCTTAGGGTTGTCTTTTTCACAGTGTTGAAATATCTCAGATTTTTTGGACCATCCTGTGCAAAGATGGGCACAAGATAATGATGTTGATTTGTGCTGGAGCACGGCTGTGTGTGCTGTGTTTTGCTAGTAGACTCCAGGAATCCTGAGATAAGACTCACAAATTTGTCTCAATATTAAAGTATTGCACTGTCGGTTTGGGTGTCATGGTGCAGTATTTGCTAAAGCTTTCAACAGATGGCAGACTTATGAAGGTGGTGTGCCTGTAATAAACTCCTGGATTTTGTGCTGTTTCACTTTGTGGGGTAGAAGGGATATGATCGCACAAATCCTTTTATCTGGACTACAGGCTTCATGTTTTGATAAGAACAAAAAAGGGAATCTTGGAAGACAAACGAGATGCTTTAAAGTGTTATTGGGTATTCAAGCCATCTTGGCTGTTGTTGAAAGTGCTTCCTCTCTGTCTTTACGTCTTTTCTTAGATTTTAGATTGTGTCTGCAACCATTTATTGCTTAAAAATTGAATGATAGCTGAACTGGGAAGAATTAAGTCAACAAGATGTGACTTTTTTTTTTTTTTGACATATGCCATTCTGCTTTTGGGATGAGAGTCTAGAGACTACATGATCCCCTCTCTCTCCACAGTACTTAAGAGGGACATATCACCGTGTCCTCTCAGAGCTGCTTCTCCGTGGAGTGCTGGATTGTACTGTGCTCCACTGGAAGAACCAAGTGTTTTCTGCTGAGATCTGTATTTGTTGATATGGCACAATACCAAGTGATAAATAACTGGGTTTGTACTGGAATTAAAAAGTGGATATATATGACCCTTCTCAAGGTTCAAACTAAACCCAGTCACATGTTTGAATATCTTTTTTTTTTTTTTTTAAATTTTATTTTTTATTTGAGGAAAAATGTACATTTTTGCTTTTGAAGTTAGGTAGTAAAGTAGTATATGTATTGCATGTACAAAGTATAAACAACTAGTGAAAATTTTTATTGAATGCCTCTCCCAGATTTTAAAATTTCATACTTAATAGGTTACAGCAATAATTACTGCTGTCAGTGCTATGATGACAGTTATCACATCTAATATTGCATAGTGTTTTGAACAGTAACTGAAAAATAGGTATTCTCTGCTTCTCTACTTTGTTTAGTTAAACTGCATATTTTTCAATATGAATAGTAAAATGCTTCAAATAAGAACAGTGGTGTATCACAAAGTGCATGTGAATACATTTTACTTCTTAAAAACAGTTCAGCTAGCAAATTTAAAAGACACACGCCTGACTTTCGTTTATATTCTTGGACTGTGAAATATTTTATAGGCAATTTCCAACCATTATTATTAAATCATTCTTTTAAACAAGATTTCTTTTCAAAAGACTTGAAACATGAAGGCAGACGGGAGCCTCTATGTAGAGTCAGCTGAGGAATACAAGGTGTTACCTCTTTGGTTTCCTAATTCAAATGTAGCCTACATAGGCTGTATCAGTGGAAGTTGATGGTTGTTACTGCTGCCCTGTTCCTGGGCTTCTGAACAGGGTTTCCCTGCCCAAGTGTGGTGGGTAGTCATTCAGGGAATGAGTCTTCTTTCTGCACTGAGATTCTTATTCTAGCTCTTTGGACTGAGTTGGAGATGTGCTTGGGTGCTGAAGATCACTTTTTGGAAACTCCTTTGGGAGCTTCGACAGTAGTTTGTAGCTCTGTTGTCATCGGAGCTCCTAGATGCACAAGTCTGAATGAATCTAAATATCTGTTTGCACTTCTCTTGAGAGATGTGGTTGTACTGCATGCCATGGATAGATGACGGGATCATTTTTGATGCAGTCTGGAGTTTGCATGTTCTTTGAATAAACACGGATTACTATTGTTGAAGTATGCTAACAGCTTGACACATTCCACATGTAAAAAAATTTGAACTGGAAATATAATTGGTGTTGCTGTAAGAATATATCAAATTTAGAAGAAGCATGCTTTACAGACCAGCAGTGGGCACTTGTCTGAGTATCATTAAAAATTTTGACATTGAGTAATTTGGGGTTTAATAATAATTAATTAACTACTATTTAAACACCTCAGCCAAGACTGATCTACATGTCTAGTTTAAAAACTCTGGTATAGGTTATAGATTTGACATGTTCAGTGTATAGTGGCTTGTGAAAGGCAATAGAGTGCACCTCAAATTTGTGATAATCTCTTGTTTCTAAAGAAGAGGAACAAACAAATGCGCAATACTAAATACTGTTTTTTTTTGTTTATTTTTCAGATTAGCACTGTACGTATATGAATATCTGCTCCATGTAGGAGCACAGAAATCAGCCCAGACGTTTTTATCAGAGGTATGTTTCCCCATCCTTTTTTCCTTTGCACAGCTTTCCAGTGTGTGCAGGTGAAATACATACACATTGGTCTAGAATAAAACCAGCAGTGACAACTTCGAATATCTGTTTACACTGATCAGCATAGATTTCTGATTCTGTGGGAGCTGGTTTGCCACGTCATTTAACTTAGCATAACTAATTTTGCTGTGATTTGTTATCCCTATTCTGTGATTTGCTACTACACTGAGGAAAGATTAATCAATTTTCTGTAATAAATGTGCATGTTAGAAAATGGATCAATGGTAATCCTTTTTGATGACCTTCTAATTTATTGTTGATACTTCCAACCGTGAAGACGTACCTTTCCAAAATACACACAGCAGTCATGTATTTTACATCCTACTGTCATACACTTGCAGGTATCATTCTCTTAAGCAGTGCTGATCTCTATGTGTATTCTTACCATGCCACTAACCACTTCCCTTCTTTTCATCTGGCAAATCAGTTATATCTATAGCCATAATTACTATGCTGGTGATGACATTTTGGAGGTGGGAGAGGGATGGATGGGAACCCAGAGCATTGTTTGTGGTGGTTATAGAAGATTCATGTAGCAGAGATAAGGAAAAGCTGTAGAATTGTGGTAGTATCAGTTTATGTTTATAGTAAAGTATGTTTTTGACAATTGTTTTTTCTCTTTGGTAAAGCAGTGGAAAAATAAGAGATAAAATAATAGAGAGTATCATCTTGGCTTTCCCAAAACAGCTGTCATTTGTAAATAATACACTGTGCAAGATCCATTTTACTCATTGTGTTTTTATGATATATTTCCAAAATGAGCAGTTGGCAGAAGTATAACTGGTATGACATTTGGATTTCTAGAAAACATTCAATACAGTGTCTTGAAACTTAGCTTTTAAAACTAATTTCGTCTTGGGTTATAGAGAAACTTTCAGGTCTGAACAAGTGTAATATGACAATATATCAAATCTTTCAAATTAAGAGTGATACTAGCCAATAGACAATAAAGATGGGACAGGGACAAATAATAATGTGTAGAGTTGGTATGAGGTGTCTGTTAGATTTCACACAAAACTGTGTGTTTATTTACCTCATTCATTATCAGTGCAGAAGGGTAAATACTGACAGTATTTGTGAGTGGTTGTATGTTGAACCAGAGACAGTTATCACTGATACAGAAAAACCTGGAAGAAATTATATTTGGATGGACAAGTGCAGACTGAGAAATCTTTACACTAATACAGCTAGGAGAAAATAAACTAAAATGCAGGAGTTAAGCAGCAAGTGGTAAAAGCAGCAGAAAAAAAAAAGGTAGTTGATTGTGTAGTAAACAGGTCGTAACATTGTAATGCCCATTCAGTCCTAGGCTGTAAACCCCAACTCTGTAGCCCATGTGAGTCAGCTTTTTTTGTTTGAGTATTGGCATATGGGATGAAAACAAGAGAACATAGTTGAGACAAGCGCAAAGAAGTCTTATAGCGAATTTATGAAGTAGTGGAAGTTACAACTTTCCATGTATTTTTGTCTTGTCTGGCTCAGATTATAAGAAGCAACTGCCCTGTTGCAATGAGCTTGTTTGGAGAGTACTTCAGGTGTAGGAGACACCCAGGTGTCACTGGAGGAAGTTTATATTGGTTTGGTCTCTCCTTAAAAAGCATGGCTGTTTGGGCTCAATGCTCTCTCTGCTCTAGCAGTCTGCACCTGCCAGAATACTTTAGGTGGATTTTGTTAAAGATGAAATAGTTCCAAGCAGCAATGACTCAGTGTTGGGGCATAAAAAATGTAAGCATACATGGATTTTTTGAGCTATACAGCAATCAGTGGTCTCTATATATGTATACATGACAATTAAGAGCCCTTCCTTAAAGATCTACTGGGGAGTGTGACTAAGAGTCATGAAACAAAATTAAGAAAAGGAAAATTTAAGTTGGATATCATGGAATACACTCTGCTACTAGATAACTTAGAGATGGTGGTCCTAAACATTCCTATATTTTTGTAATGCATTATGTCCAGTTTGGATTTTGTAGAACTGATCCACAAGTCAAAGAGCTGGAGAAACTGCGCTGTGAGGTAAGACTAAAGGAGTTAGGGCTTTTTTTTCCTGGGTAGAAGAAGGCTCAGGTGGGACAACATCACACTGTTCCAGTACTTGAAGGGTGAACTATGAAGAGAACAAAGGCTTTCCCTTCATAAGGAACCATATGGAGAAGACCAGGGGCAGTGGGTACACGTTGCACAGAGAGGGATTTCATCTTCATACAAGAAATAATTTTTTTTTTTTGACAGTAAGAACAGTCATTTGCTGGAACAGCCTCTTCAGGGACATGGTAGAGTACTCATCACTGGAAGTTTTCAAGACGCAACTGGACAGAGTGTTAGATAATCTCATCTGGGCCCCTTTTCCCACAAAGGACTGTACCACATGATCTTTTGAGGTCCCTTCCAACCTGATCTGTTCTGTGATTCTATGATTCTATGAGTCAGTAAGGTCTAGAAAGCCTCTGCTGATTTTTAAGCTACAAGGTGAACTGTGCTTTGTGGTACTTGTTGAGTACAGCCTTCAAAGCTTCATTGCCTTAATCTCTAAAATATAGGGCCTCAAACTCATCTAGCATTTTCCTGAACTCTTGATAGCAGAGACCTCTTCAGTTTATTGGCTATAACTGTTGTATCTTGGTCTGCAATTTTACTTCCTTTCAGGAGACATGGCAGGAAGTTCTGGGTTGAAGTGACTCAACAGCTGTTTCATACCAGTTCATCATACAATTGGCAAAATGTCTAGGAACTTCATCTTTCATCTAAACTGTGTCATTGCTGATGAGGATTGAATAGAGCTATTCAGATGGGGTATGCACATTTTTCAAACAAAAGAAGCTGTTCTGCTCCAGAACCCTTTGCTGTCTCAGCTGCTATGTTTTCCTTGAAGAGCTGATCCTTATCCCATGTATTTTCTATCCTTGAAGTTAGGTAGTAGCCTTGGAGGAATAATCCATTACCTTGGCTGGACCAGGAAGGTGGGCATTTCCCAGTTAATCAGTCACTGGCTATGAGCTTCATCAGTACAGTCGGCAGTGAAGGCATTTTTCTAAAATTAATAGTTCTTTATAAATCTTTTTAAGCCTCTGACATCTGCCATGTGAGACATAAATATGTATTTTTTGAAAAACAAACCAAAACCCCTTCAAAGAAGTCCCAAACTTCCACACTGACATAATTTTTACTTTTAACTGAAGGATGTTTCAAGTTCAGGAATGAATTTTTGGTTTGGTTGTATGTTGCATCTCTTCATTGTGCTACCTTTGAAACTTCTCAGAAGTACTGTATATTCACAGGATCACAGAATTACAGAATCGTCTAGGTTGGAAAAGACCTTGAAGATCATCCAGTGCAACCATCAACCCAACATTGACAGTTCCCAACTACACCAGATCCTTCAGTACTGTGTCAACCTGACTCTTAAACCCCTCGAGGGATGGGGACTCCACCACCTTCCTGGGCAGCACATTCCAATGCCCAACAACCCCTTCTGGAAAGAAATGCTTCTGACATCTAGTCTAAATGTTTCCTGGAGCAACTTGAGGCCATTCCCTCTTGTCCTGTTGCTTATTACTTGGTTAAAGAGACTCATCCCCAGCTCTCTGCACCCTCCTTTCAGGCAGCTGTAGAGGGTGATGAGGTCTCCCCTCAGCCTCCTCTTCTCCAGACTAAACCCCCCCAGTTCCCTCAGCTGCTCCCCAGCAGACCTGTGCTCCAGACCCTGCACCAGCTCTGTTGCCCTTCTCTGGACACGCTCGAGTCACTCAATGTCCTTTTTTGGAGTGAGGGGCCCAAAACTGAACCCAGTCATCGAGGGGCGGCCTCACCAGTGCCGAGTACAGGGGTCAGATCCCTTCCCTGTCCCTGCTGGCCACGCTAGTGCTGACACAAGCCAGGATGCCATTGGCCTTCTTGGCCCCCTGGGCACACTGCTGGCTCCTGTTCATCGGGCTGTCAATCACCCCCCAGGTCCCTCTCTGACTGGCAGCTCTCCAGCCACTCCTCCCCAAACCTGTAGCCCTGCTGGGGGTTGTTGTGGCCCAAGGGCAGCCCCCGGCATTTGCCCTCAGTGAAACTCCTACATTAAGTCCTTCCAAGCCATTCCCAGTGCATGTGAGGAGCAGTCATGCTTCAGTAGGGTATATTTGAAGACCGTGTAGCACCTTTGTAGTAGCTTTGGCTTTTATTTATATTTTTCAGTTTTATTAATATTGTTATCTGCCAGTACTTAAGCAGGAGCTTTACCAGCAGAAGTGATAGTGCCTCAAGGTTACCTTTTAAAATAATTTTTAAACAGCAAAATTTTTTTGAATAGTAGTATTAATATATTAAAATTACATTTGGTTACTTTGTATGAGTGCAAAGAACATTTTTAGGAGTATGAACTACATATTCTTCTCCTGCAAGCTATTGACAGAACTTGTATGTATTTAAATTTCTTAAGAATTGGAGGTGGAAATCAAGTTGCAGTTGGGAATCAAAGTTTTAGTCTCTTTTGGAAAATGCCAGCTTCACCAGTGCCTCTGGCAGTATGAACTATCTATGTTTTCATGTACTTTTATATATGAATCTTTAAATATCTCTTCTATTAAGGCTGTTTAAGTGTTTAATTAAAATAATTTTTTGTCTGCCATTACTTCTGTCCCTAGAGCAGAATATGGTTTGTGTTTAAACAATTTTTTTCAAAACAAAATTGGACAGGAAATAATGCTATGTGTAGTTGTAACTGGAGGAATCTGGAGTGCATGCATCACCCTAGTTTCCACCCAGTTTTAACATGAGACATCCTTCTGTACAGTGTTGTGTGGATTTCTGCAGGACCTCCAGTTTTTTGCAACGGAGCTCCTTAAGCAGTTACATGGGCTTTATTATAGTCCAAACTATTTAATTTTGTAGTTGACAAACTATGGCATTAATGGAACAGTTGTGTGACTATAGTTAAGATACAACATTTGGGAAGTATTGCAGAGAGACAGAATGCTGTCACCGTGCATTATGTTGTCTGATGGGTTTGCTGATCAATAGGGAAGTGTGAAGTCAAGGGTAAGAATTATTAAACTGCATCTCCTTTGAAAACAGTGTTAAAAACAAACCAAGTTTCCTGGGTGGGAAAGAAGTCACAGCCAGTATAGCTCTTCAGGAGAGGCTGCCAGCACAGACAAACCAAACTGAACTAGCTCTGCAGTGAGCAGTGGGAGACTGAGTTTTAACTGATGCTGCTCCTGTTCGCCACATTACCTCCTAACAGTAAAGCACTCCTTGAGGATTATAAAACACTCTCTTGCTTTGGATGCGGAGGGAAGACTGCCACCTGCTGAATCAGTAACATTAGTTCTGTGTCTTCTATGTTAGTGCAAACTGGAAAATCTTTTAGATTATTTTAAGGGTACTTTTTAACACTGAGTTTTGGGGTTTTTTTTGTCATGCGTTTTTGACCTTAAAAAGGTGAAGTGATAAAAATGACATCGTTAATAAAATTGTATTCAGAACATTAAAAAAAAAATCTAACATATGCCTTCTTAGAATAAGAAAAGCGTATTTTAAGTATCAGCTATATTAACAAGTGTAATAAAGTAATATGGCCATCCAGACTGATGATAAAGCTTTTCATAACTACAAAATGCTTTCTCTTTTTGCTAGCTGCATGAATTATGTAATGCTTTTTAGGTACAATGACTTCAAAAATGAACAACTGTTTTTATGGGTTTGTTTTAGATAAGATGGGAAAAAAACATCACGCTTGGGGAGCCCCCAGGATTCTTGCATTCCTGGTGGTGGTAAGTATGAATTTTCTTTTCCTTTGATTTTTAGAATATGTTGATTGCTAGTTCTAGCAGCTGGAGGCAACAAATTCAAGTGAACATAGCAAAAGGAATGTGAAGATGAGGATCAAGAACCATTTTCTTGTTAAGGAAGGAAAGAATGAAATTTAAATATCGAAAAAGATACAGATATTAGATACAGGAAAATAAGTATTGCATAGTGCATTGATAAGAAAGTATCTTTGAAAGAAAGTGGCCTGCATTTCTTTCTTCATCACCTTCCAGTAAATTGTGCATTTAAGAGATCATTCTATATAACCTAAACAGAGATTATGCATATAGATGTGAGCTCCCTCAGTCTACGTTCTACATTCTAGTCACAGGAAGAGCATATGAAAGTAATTAGCTGAACCCAAGCTACCAGCCTTTTTGAGAAGCGGTGTGCATTAGCATGGGCTTGGTGCTCCATTGTCTGCATTTTCACAGTGTCTCTCTGCTCAGAAGACGGGTAGACATGGAGTTGACTCATAATTTTTAATGCATGATACCATTTGATTAAAAATACTGGTGCGCACAGACACATCTGTGTGTGTAGAATTCCCAGGGAGAAAAGAGTGCTCGTAGTCACTGCTATTTAGCCATGGTATTTATTAGTTGTCACATGATTTGACTATGCACAATATGCTTGTGTTTGAAAGAATACAAAATTACAATGAGTATGTCCAACTGTCAAGAATGCAAGAATTTACAAGTTTTAAAGTGGTCCCACTTGAACCCAAGTTATTTGTACAGCTGCATGGAACATAGCATATTCTTCACTGAATTTTCTCTCATAGCTTTTAGCTATGTGACAGAAACCTGGCAAGAAGAACATGACCCTTGTATCTCTGATGTCTGTATTATCCTTAATTTTGATTGTCTGCAGCAGAGTGCTCAAATTTTCCATAATTCCTTGTTATGGTGCTGGACCAAGTTACAGAGGATTAAGTCTAAATAAAGAAGCACTGTGAAACTCTTAACAAATTTTATTCTTTTAATTGTTCTAGCATACACATAATTTAATTCTGGAAACTTTGTGTTAGAGCTGATTTGTTTATAACTCTATTTGAAGGGCGTTGGGGAAAAAGACTAGTGGGGGTCCCATAATTCCCTTTCACTCTTTGTAACCAGAGAACTACCCATCTATTTCCTACTCTTGTCCATACACCTGTTTCTCTTGGAACTTTTGTTTAAAGCACAGTATTGGACCTTGGAAGAACTCCCAGTTTTCTCTCCAGTTGCTTGCCTTTTCATGTTATTACAAATCTGTCCCTTTCTGTGCTTTGTGGAAGTTAATTGCGGCAGTTGCCAGAGGGATGAGGTTAAATACAGAGCTTCAGTAATACACTTTACACTCTTAAACCTTGTCTATTAGAATAGCTTCTTGGTCTATACTACAGTGGCATTAAAGGAATACAGCACCGCTTGCCTCAGAGAATCAGATAGCAGGACTAGATTCCTCATAGATGTTTTACAAAATTAAATTCTTTCATGGAGATGTTTTCATCCCTTGGCAAGGAAGTCATATGTATCTTTCTATATATGGTGTGTGTACACCATAAAATCTACACGAGTATTACAATGCTTTTTTCACCATCTCTGTAACTTCTTAACTTGCAGTGTATTTTGGGATCTCTACTGTGCAGCTCCAGAAAGACGAGAAACATGTGAACATTCAAGTGAAGCAAAAGCCTTTCATGACTATGTAAGTTTTGTGTGTCTTTACCACACTTTCATTAATTTTATGTATAAATGTGATAGAGAAGTATCTCTGCACTATAGTGGCTCAAAAATGCAGGTGTCAGTCATATATAAATAACTCAGCTTTCTGGGAATGCCTTAGAATTAGGATTTTCTAATTCTTTGATTACCCGGTACTGTACGGATAACTCGTGGAAGCCATCTCAGAAATCGAAGTGCTGACTCATGTGTTAATGCAGCACGAAGAATGTCCTTCTCTTATCCCTGACATGGACACATCAGGGTGGTCACAAAGGCACAGGGTACATGGAAGCACAGATATGTCCTGACCAAATACCTGTACTCTGTTGGTGCTAAACAAAAGGCTGTTCAGTAGATGGAATTGATCAGCTGGCTTTTGTCAGGACCATACTGACTTAAAATGTCATTTATTCTTCAGATATTTTTGTATCCTGATGGAGGTATTTTTCATCAGTGTAATAAACACAGGCATCATATGATAAGTTAAATGCAAAATCATCTGGGCCAAGAGAACAGAAGAAATATAAGGCAGTGTATTATGCCAGTTTTGGTGCCTTTGAGACTTAGTTCAAAACACAGCAAGGCGTTTGGTGGTGTTCTGCCTGCAAGGACTAATAATAATAAAACAAAATATTCTACGGTTCAAAACATTGCAACAGTTTCCTTCTGATTTCTCCATTCTCATAATGTAAAAGGAGCTGTCCAAAAATGCAGAACTACATTCCAGATTTAGGATGGAATTTTAGTTCCTTCTGCTATGTCAGCTCCTTTCCATCTGGTGGTTACATTTTTACTGACAAAATCCTTAGGAGGCTGACCACTCTTAGTTTATTGTGTCTTTGGGCCATTGATGTAGTCTAAAGAGGGAGTATAACTCTCACGATACAACTCTGAAACCTCTTCCATTGAGTGTTTTCCAAGCCTGTCTTAGGAATGATGTCTAGTTACTGCAGAAAAATATTTCTACACATAAAATTAGACTGCCATAGCCCAGTGTCTTACAAACAGAAATTTGGGAAAACAGAAATGAATCAGCTAAAAGAGACTATTTTCTGTTTTCTGTTTTTCCATTTTCTGTTGTCATAATCTGATAATGGCTTAGCATCCTACAGTATGTGAGCTAATGGTGATCTTGCCTTATTTGTACTTAACAATGACTTACGTTGTAAATGCACCATCAACACAGAACTGTTTAAGCATATTTTACTTACAGACCAATGCCACTTTAATACCCTGTTCTTAGTGCTTAGACTATGAGGCTAACTGGTAAAGAAGCTTGCACAGTTTTGCACAGTCATCTCTGGGTTACACTGATCATTAGTCATAACAAAAGAAATCTGTCAGAGAGAGGAACAAAGATATACGGAAGTTTTCTACCCACAGAAGTGTTAAGGTCAACCAAATTGGTAAAGCATATTCCTCAACTTAAAAATGAAATAACTCTTTCAAGTACAATTGCTGTAGTCTTTTTTACCTGTTCTTTTTTAACTATTTCATTGTCGGAAAAATACAACACTTACCTGTTGTTTTGAATCATTGTTATTAGAGCAAGGTTTAATTCCCCACTAAAGGACAAATAGTTTTACACGAATAGTTTATGAGTGCAAGGAATGATATTAGCAAATTAAATTTGTGGAGATCAGAATCTACAGTACAACAGTTGTCTTCAATGTGGACATTATGCTCTGAAACTATAATGTGTGTAACAAAAGCCAACGATCTGAAATCTGTAAATATTGTGAAATAATTCTGAAACAAAATGATCAGCGAGAGAAAATTTTCAGTGAAAAAGAACTTGGAAATCTAAAATGGAGTGGAGTCTGCAATTCTTTAAACTCATGAGAGTTTCATTGATCAGTAAGTTCACTACTGATTCTACATTTTGAGGTATACTAAGAATTTGTGTGGGTGAATCAAATGAATGTTAAATAAAAAAGTTGTTTAACCATCATCACCCTTCTAGCGTTTCTAATTTTTGCAGGTCTTGGAATATTACATGGCCTTATTTCTCAGTTCTGTCTGCATTATGATGTGTATTGTCATAACTCAAAAAAACAGAAAATACTCAAATAACTTCTGTGTGTGATTCAGTTTTGTGATTGTCTGTATAAAGTCACGTTTAATGAAGGAAAAATAAAATTATATACTTCTATATGCACATCAATGTTTTAAGACAGGGTGAATGTTTATTTTAGAAATAAATTGGTTTATTTTAGAAATTAATTCACCAGGTATTTCTAAATCCTGTTCCCCCTTAATCTTTTAAGGTGACAGGAAAAGCTAGCTTTTCCATTACTTTTGTCACAATTGGGATAAACTTGTCTAATATCAAGCAAGACTCATGGTATTCCTTAGCATCATGTGCTTTTTGCTTAGTAAGATAGTCATTAACATGCATACTCTTGAAATCTTACATATATTTAATATTTTATGAGTGTATTGTGTGCTTATATTAAAGAACATGAGAAATTGTTATAAAATACAGCCAGGCATACTTCACAGCAGAGGAAGATAAACATTTATTAAGTGAAATTTTGACCCATGTAGTGTTTTGCCATTGACTCCAGAGGAGTCAAAATTCCATCATCAGTGAAGACCACTAGAAAGCTCATTGCTGGATTCTGTCTTCTCCATCAGGCTGAGGGGTGTGGTAAATCAAAACCCTGCTATCATGCTGCAGGTCAAGTAATTGAGCATTTGTAGCTCTACTGTCATGTCTGAAAACTGCAATTGTAAGTAAAAAAGCACAGAAGGCTTATTTATTAATTCATACTAGCAATTCAGAATTTTTGATTAGGTATATGCTCTACTCCATCTAAGACAAATGACTCTAGCTGAAGGTGCGAGTGGTCTGGTTACACCGGATGTGTCATCTTTAACACTAAGCAGGCTGTATTAGCTTAAGCATATCTTTTCTGTCTTCGCTTCTGTGAAGAGAGAAAGGTTTAAGACTGTTTGGGTGAGGAGGAAAGCACTCTCAGATGATTTAATGATTTGTGAAATACTGCTGCCTCAGTCAACGTAGTTGTGAGTCAGTCTGGAACACACAGAGGTTTGACTCAAAATGAAGAGATCCAGAAAGATTTTGGTTTTTTAAGTTTACTTTTACAGTCTGTTAACTGCAGTTGCAAAAATAACACCATTTGATTCCTTCTGCTCCCCGTCACACCCCCACCTCCCTGAATGCTTTTTTTGAGGGATGATCTTTATCTGATTATTTGCTTTGCCATTAGATTTCAGCATGTGCTTTGGTTGTCATTGAATGCAATTAAATATCTGCAGCTGCACTTTGTATATCTGCAACATACTTGGGTGAGAAGAATAGCAGGATCCTTCTTGGACTCTGGTGCTGTCCTGAAAAAGAGTAATAATGGAGTTACCTCTAATGCCAACTCTGCCTTATCAAGCAAACAATCAATCTGTGCTACTGAGTATGTTCTTGACTATTTGTGTAAAAGAACAAGAAATATTATTTCAGGTAACTTATTTAAATTTTCTGATACACATGTGTGTACAGGTCTCTATGTAGTAGCATCCCTGTTCTGTACAGAAAGGGTTTGGAAGTACAGTTTCATTGTGTTCGGATTGTACTAATACAAGTTCTGATTTTTATCGAGCTAGTGAGAGGAGAAGAATCTTTCATGTCTGACAGCAGGAACATGAAGTGACTCTCAAGGTGGAAGCTGTAAGTGCTTGCAGTACTAACAGTGCTCATCTTAGTGAAAATCCAATAAATAGAAAAGCGAAGGCCTACTCTGTCTTTAAAAGAAGATTTTCTGTGTTCATCCTAGTGAGGTTAAGTATTTGCAAGTCCTTCATACTCTCTAAAAGGATTTTTTTTTTTTTTTTTTTACTGAGATTGGCAATTGGAAATGTTTTCTTCTGAGTGAACAAGGTTCTGAACTCACTAAGTATTTAGATAATATATTTTAGGCTTGAAAAGGCATATACATGTCATGAAAGTGTGTGCTGGATCAGGGAGATAGGTTCTGGCATTGAAGTTTCAGTGTGAATTATGTAGAATTAGAAATTGTTTACATTTCAGGTAGCTCAGGAAATAAAACTGGTGCTTGCTCACCTAGCCTGTTAATATTGTGGGCATTTCAGTAGCAGGACTAACTTTTTTGAAGCAGAAAACCCTGTGTTTCTTTACCAGGTACCTATTATGTTTCCTGGAGGAAAACTCTGCACTTTGAAGTCTTGTGAAAGATCATTTACATGGATGCTCTGAGGCAAAAGTTAGTCTTCACTATAGAATGGGTTTTTCTTTCTTCACAGTGTCCAAAAGAGATTTCTTAATCTCTCTAGTCAAGATCTCATTTCTGTGGGTTTTGAACAGAAATCTTCTGATGAGAAAAGCAGGTTCCAGCATGCATCTTAGTCCTGCCTTCTTTCCACTTCTTTACAAGCTGAAAACATAGTGGGTCGAAAGGGAAAATAAAACGTAAACCTTGTGATTCCTCAAAGAATGGATTTTTAGCAGCACCGCTACCAGTGAGCTTCTGACTGCCACAAGTGACCATTCTCCTCTTCCTCAGGCCTGGCCTTTCATTCACTTCTCTAGACCCTGGGTTTGGGGGAGGTGGTTCCTTGAAAGTGTTTTCTTACAAGATGATTTCTGTACACAACATTTTAGATCTTTTTACAGTCCAGAAGTTCCTGTGCCTCTCTTATCGTCCTTGCAATGGAAATTTTTGCGTGTAGTGATGGTGCAAAGAGGGATCTATTAATTCTCACAAGTAGCTAGAGTAAAATCTTGATTATTTTTCAGGTAAGGTTTTATAGGTGTCTTCTTCACAACTCTTTGAAAGATCACTTTTGGTATGAGTAAGAGTTTCGTGTTTGGTTTTATGACTTCCTAAAGAATGCCAGGTAATTTTTGGGGTATGAATAAAGACACATTCATTGCTCCAGAGACTCTACAGTCTCATAAGCTGGTATCACATTTCCTCCTGACTTTTTAATAGTGAGTTGTATGACAGG